CAAGGGTAACGTCGATTAAGCTACAGGTAAGAAAACTCTGAGCTGCTGAACTTTTTTATATAAATTGAAAAATGTCGAGTGAATGATGAGGTGTTAAGGCTGAGAAAAAAGTTCTGAAATATCTTTATATTTTCCTCATCTTATCCTCTTTCATAACCATGATAATAATTTTTCTCTTTTCTTTTTCTTCATTTTCTCTTCTCTATTATCATCTTAGGAAATTTTCCTTCAGTTCCGCGAATTTCACTCCAAGCTATCACGCAATAGTTTCGTTCATGGTCTCTATTCTATTCTCTATTTATTCATTTTCTCTTCTCAATCAAATATAATATCAGCATCCAAAATCCTTGTCTCATTAGGTACCAACAAGTCTCAGAACATGTATTTGACTCCATTGACATTTTCCCTCATCAATCTTTCCCTGAATTACATGATGATGATCATCTTTTCCCATCAGCATCATGATCATGTTGATGACGCTCATCTCATGATGATGATGAGCAACAAAAATGATGTAAAGAGCAAGAAAAAAAAACTTTAAGATAATGAAAAAAAGATGATAAAGAAGAAAAAAAGTTTCAAGAAGATAATGTTGATTCTTAAGTCTTAAAGTTTGTTCATCATGAAAAATCATATGAAGCTAAAGATTATCTCTTTATCCATCAGAGATCCAATTCTAGGATGAAAGAAGATGGAGATTAAAGAAAGATAAAGTTAAAGTTAATTGAAATTACTGTTGAATTACATTTGAATAATATTCATCGTGAGAAACAATCATGAAGATATTCAAGTCACTGAATATAAAGATAATGTTTAAATCAAAAGAGAATCAAAATTGAGACTGAAACATGAAAAGCTGTTACTTGTTTATATTTATATAGATTCACGGATGAAGGTGAAATTGAGAGTTATCATCATCATCGCCATGATGAAGATAAGTATAAGTCATGATGAGAAGGTTGAATGATGATGATGATACCGAAAAAAAGTTCTGTCTTGAGAGTTCTGAAATATATCTCGTTGGATAGAATGAGGGGAATTTTTTTCCTTTTTTTCGAAAAACAAAAACATTAAAGTTCAATCCCAATTCGCAGTTCCAACAGTTGCTTAGTCACTTGATGCTATTGCATGAGTATTCATGGTTATCATGAAAATGAATCTTTAATATACAAGAAACAGAGAAAAAAAAAATACTCATGAACAATAATCTCATAAATAGATTGGAAATTTTTTCTCTTCAACTTTCTCATAATGAATTGAAATTCGTTCAAATTCCCAGGATATTTTCTGAGTATTCTGATATTCATCCATCAAACATCAAGAATTAATTTCCCATGAAAAAACAATCGCATCCACCCTGAAATTCAATCCAATCCAACGGTCAATCACAAGGAGAGATGACAAATTTTCCAATCTCACCATTGAGACTTTCAATTATCATGTTATCATGATTGTCACTCAGGTAACATCTAAAAATGATGATGATGATAATAAGTATGATGAGATAGAAAATGAGAAAAGAAAAAAAATCATTTTCTAAAGTTGAGAATTATTCGAGTTTAGATCATTAGACCAAATCGAAAGTTGAAGTTCTAATATTATTCCAATTCAATTGTTTTCAAGTGATTGGTGTGATTTAAACTTCAGACTGTTACAACAACGATTCTTAACCAGTCTGATATTAAATTAACACCCAAAACTATCATCACCATGATTATGATTGTTGCTATTACCTTGAAATCTCAGATATTATTCTGAGCCTTTAACTTCATTATATGTTACTGAATTTTCAATTTAAGTTGGCCCACTTTTCCAGCTCTTGGTCAATTCTGGGTGGAAATATTTCCAGCACTGACCATTGAGAAAGCTTTTAGAAAAGAATCATAAAAATAGTTGAACAAGGAAAGTAAAAGAAAATGAATTCTTCAAAATGAGACTTGGAACTGAAAAAAAGTTCCAAGAATAATTTTCTACTTTTCTTTTTTTTCAGAAGAAATAAAATCTTTCATACTAATAGTCTATTTCCATGAAATCCATTCTCCTCCCTGATAGATATTATTATTGAACTATTAATAAATTACTCTAATCAAGTATTTGGATGATTGTGGTTGATTAAAATTCTGATTTAAATTAAATTATAAAGGAATTGGATGTTTATGTTGAATGGTTAGAATGTTGAATTTCTTCAATCCTTTTTAACTTTTTTTTTGGTTAATGAATTAACTTTTAATTCAATTGAATTTGATTTAAAATTTAATTTTATGTTATTTTTGGTTAATCATCACACATAATCAACTAATATAATCATAAGCACTTAATAAATTATTCAAGGAAACTTCAATATCAATGTTAATCCAATGTTGATTTAGCCTTTAAATTATGATCAAGTCTCCATAGTTTAATATATTTGGTTAATTTTTTTTGGAGATAATTTGATTCCTCATATAATCAATAGTTAGTTAATTGTATATTTTCAAGTAATTTGCAACTAAATTGTAAAATTAAGCAAATAAAATTTACTCCGATTAACCTGATCATCTTTAAATCCTGATTAACTTTCACCTTGATTACAATCATAATTGTCTAGGACTTTACGATTATTACACTAATTAAATATTATATGAATTGACAATCAGGTTGATTAAAAGGTTACAATTAACTAAATAACCAATGTGTGAATTAAATTTACTTTAATCACCCTGAAAATCAACATATTATCATGAAAATAAGTTTATCCAAAGCTTAATTGGAAGTGAAATTAAATTTAAAATTGATGAACATCAATCAATAAATTATATCCAAAGTTAATTAATGGGGGAAAGGTTTAATTAAATGAAACCCGATTAAATTAAGAATCAAAATCCACCAACAATCAGAGAAATAAATTGTATTGATAAATACAATCACTGTGACGAAATCCAAATGATATAAATAGTAACATTGATTGTTAGTATACAATAAATTGCTACAATCAACAAAAATATCATTAACAATTAATATGAAGATTGGAATGAGAAACGAGCATCAAGACAAAAGGGAAACTCAGTGTTGAGGATGAAAATTCATCAACAATCAACCGAATTGATAAATGAACTGAAATCTGATTCTGTTGATCAATTTATTAGATACAACATGATATCATTATTGATATAATAATATCATGATGATCGTTGTCACAAAATAAATCAACAATGACTTGTTATTTAACATAGAAAATATTAATAGTAATGATAACTGAGCAAAAAAAAAGTTTTGAAAAAGTTGCGATGAATTCATGATAATTCAGTTTGATTATTATTACTTTCATTTTCTGGGTTGATAGTTTTTCTTACTCTTTCTGTTGATCCATTTGCAGCATCATTGGGGTTTGTTGTTAAATGTGAGAATGGTGATGATGATGATGATAATGGTCTCTGGGCATAATCTTCATGCTGATCTCAGGGTAATGTGATCATCATTCATTTTACTTTCTTCATCATCATCATCCCGAAATCCCTGTAAAAGTTTGTCCAACTAAGTAAAATATGCATTCAACAATAAATTGAATCTCCTTTTGAAAGCTTCTGTTGCTGTTGTATTAATAGTACTGTTGCTTTTTTCTTCTATCATCATCATCATCATTATCATCGTCATCATCATCATGTTCCCAGGGTAACATGACTTTTCATTGTTTTCTCTTTCTTTCTCATCCAACTCCTTCTCCCCACTTTATGTAATCTGTCACATGAAAAGCAAAAACAGGAACCGGAAAAACTCTTGGGACCTCATGTTTTCTGATAAAAAATCACTAAATTTATGTCTATTCAGGATAAACTTGGATTGTGTTCATGATGAGACTGAGAGGAAAATAGACAGAAAGCGAAAGAGGAGATGTTTCTTTATCATCTTTCTCTGTTTTCTTAACATTTTCATCATCCAAACCATCATGATGATTATCATCATCGTCATGAAGGATCATTTCAAGATTTTCTTACAGTTCTTTGTTTTTGTTTTTCCTTTTCTTTGAAGTATAAGAAGATGATGAACATGAAGAGAAGAAAAAAAAAGTTCTAACAAGATTGAATAGTACTTAACATTCAGTTCGATATGTTACTCGATTTTCCAGCCAATCATTTGCTTCTCATGGTGATGATCATATCTATTATTTTCTACTTAGATTAATTAAATCGTCATTTAATAAGATAATTGGGCAAAAGTAAAGGTTAAACTAAGGTGACAAATGAGCTGAACAATCAACGATATTTACTGTTCACTGTTTACAGTTAGATCGTTTAATCAATATTAAGTTAACCTTGAATTATTATTTTCCATGTTAGCACGATAATTAATTTCTCATGATGAACTTTCCATGCTATTCAACAATTCTGAATGTGAATCACATTTAATGTTTTGTAAATAATTAATGACACAATATTAACACGATAACTTTATCTGCTTTTCCTTTGGTCAATCGATATTGTAGTAAGCCCATTTTCTGGCCAAGATTCTGATTCCGGGTTAGAGCTCATTATGCTAATAGAATAATAAATTATTAGGTTTTCGAAAAGTTTAAAATAGTTTAGTAGAAAGGGAGAAAAGAGGAAAAGTTAAAGCGCGCGAATTTTGATTGAGAATAAGAAGAAAGAAAAAGTTTCGATTTGTGAATTAAAAAGTTCTTAACATGAATTTCTCATCTCAAGTCGATTGTTATCATGAGATCACCAGAGAAAAGTGATCATATTAACAACGATTATAATTTAGGGAAAATGATATTAAATTGATTCACGAAAACACTTAAAACTTTCATGTTAATTTACTTACTTTTTCTCTCTCTTTGAAAATTTCTTTGCCCTGATCATCCTGATAATCATCATGATCGCTCCCTCTTCCTCTCTGTAACTTATAGGCGGTTCCATATTCACCGAGAGTGTGGGATCATCATCGTCCCACCGAGTAACTGCTAATGCGCAGTTTTCAATGTAATTTCATTTTCTCAGCTCTCAGAGTTTCTGTTGATTCAATCATTGAATTTCAATGGTAGCATGAGAAACTGAAACAACAACAAACATTGAAAATTGTCACAATTCAATTTGTGTCTTCAATTGTGATTCTTTCACCTTTAAATTTGCAATCAACTGAGTGACCATTGCAATTAGTTTTTCGTTCAATTTACTGTTTCCCATTAGCACCAATACAAATTGATTGTTAAATTAATAGCAAATCAGCTGCAATATTAACACTGATTATCTCGTTCTCAGTTTAATTGTTGATTAACTAACTGTGATCTAAATCTCTCTGTGTGTCTGTTTATTATTGACAAGATAATTGATTCTCTTTTGGATTATGATACTTGTGCTAATTGTTTACTTGCTTCGTTGATTGATTAAAACATGATCGTTGTATTAAAGGATTTGTTAAATCAACAATAATTCAACTAATCAACTCATATTAATTAGTCTCATCGTCACATAACTTACATCATCATCATAATCATTAATCAATATGAAATGTTTACCATGAATGTAATTATAATCAAGAAAACAATTGGTCATCTTTATCCAATAGGATTATTATAATAAGGACCATAAATTGTTTACACTTAATCATCAACCAGGATCATCACCATAAAAATTGTCTTCCAACAATTAGCCAACGTATTCTGTTGATTAACTAATCAATAACAATAATCGATGACCAGCAACTGCAAGGTTAGTTTAATTTTCCTCTAATCATTTTTTAATCCTCATCTCAAGTGTATTAGTTGATTTAATCTATTGGATTACCTTTTGAAGGTGAAAAACCTCAATTATGGCTTATAATTAAATAGATTAACTGTTGATAAACATGGATGACACTTTCATGTATGCAATTAGCTAATTGTTGAGAAACTTTTCCTCAGAATTGTTTGTTTCAAATGATTAACGGAAAGAGGAAGTTAAAGTTATCTTCATCCTCATCCCGATATCAGTGAAGTCTGAAAATATGATTTGTTTAAAAATAGATTCAATTCCTTAACCTGATTACATGATTGATATCTAATCTAATTTATCATGTTGATCTTGTAAAAGTTTTCAGGGGAAAGCTGAATAATCTGAGTAAGCAAATTAAGTAAAGAAAGGAAAAGTGAACCTAAGTATTGACTGAAAATCAGAATTTTGCAAATTGAATCGAGTTAATTGACTCGTGGAGTAATTAAAATTAATCAATATTCTCAGTTTCATATCTCAAAAAGTTTCATGTTATTTCATCTCCACATTGAATTTAACCTTGAACTTATCATGAAAATTAATATCATGCAGTTGATTAATATTATTGCTCCAATCTAAAGATAGAATTGACCTAAATTTCTCAAACCATATTAGAGCTGAAAGAAAATAACATTTTAATTGTCAACTTGTTAGTCTCTTTTTCAACACCTATTATTCAATAGAATTGGAAAATGAAATGATAATAGAAAAGAAAAGAAGAATAGAAAAAAAATAGTTAGAGATTCTTCTGACAAGTGAATTCAGCTCCACTCTGAGCTTCGAATTTCTTTCTGGTTTCAACTGGAACTTTTTTCTTCTTTTATTTCACAAAAAAAGAAGCTTTGGCTTTTATTTCTCATTTTTCTTTCGCATCATCATCAGCATCGTCATCATCAATTCCAAAAATATTCCTAAGTATTCAAGAGTATTACCCAAGAAGTAGTTATTGTCATCTTGCATGATAACTGCAGATTCTAATGGCTTCATACCCTTATGGTGGCTTATTGTTAACCTGAAACATAATGTTCCTTGTGATTATTACGCAATAATGTTTTTTTCTAGTGTCTTTTACTGTTGATTGTCACTATTATTATCGTAATATTTATGATTTTGGTTTGGGTGGGATTTTCTGTGTCTCGGTTTTATCTTTATTTCCTCTTCCTTTGGATCATCTTGGTTTGGGTGAGAATTTCTTGTTTACCTTTAAGTCTGAATTTCGTTTTTGCTCAGTTATCAGTCGATTCTTGAACATTTTCTCTGGATACTTGATGAATAAAAGCTACCAGAGAAAGAGGTAAATATAAGATAATAGTAATGATGATCATCAGTAGATAATAAGAAGAAGAATGAGAATGATAATGAAAAGAAGGAGGAGAAGCAAAGAGAATAACAGAGAATTCTATGTGAACTGGGAGTGAAAAGGTTGACTTACTAAGGAAAAAGAACTGAAGAGAAAAAAAACTCGGACGAAAATCGGAAAGAAAGAAAAAGAAATAAGAAGAAAAAAATGAGATAAAGGTCGAAATGATGATGATGAGAGAGAGAGGGAGAAGCAATTTAATATCAGAAGTGTCCATAAAAAAGGAGGAAGATGAAATGATGAAGATGAATAGGAATAGAAAAAGAAATCACATTAAATGTATCGATGTGTTTTTTTTCATCTAGAGCAACAAACTCATTCTAATAAATGATGAAGATGCTCATTCACTTTTAGTCAAATTGTTGCTTTTTAATCAATCTTATCTTTCAGCATATTCCCACTCCACCTCAACCTCTTCCTCCTCCTTCCCATCAAGAAACAATCATTCACAACAATGTCTATGTTATAATCACCTTCAACATTGTCTTTCTCTCTTATTGATGAGTTGTAACTTTCATCATGAAAAAGTCGATATTTAATCGAACTTGTTTTTTTTTGGATCTTCTCATATAAAGTTGACACAAAAAGATTCGAACAATTGTTTGCCAATGTATAATATTGGTCAATATTCTGTCCAAGAATTTAAAATCAATTTTCTATCCTCTAGTTTCCATCGAAAACAATATAAAACAATTGTTCTGATCCATCATGTTTACCATCATCTTCCTCAATGATGATAATAATGTGATATTTTCCCTTCGTTATTTCAATTACTTTAAATCGACTTTCAATGTCACTTGATTCTCAATCAATTCTGTATTTAATATCGATCAACAATGAACATCAACCAGAAATCAATAACCTTCACCCTCCAAATAATATAAAGTAGAATCCGAAATTCAATTTCATCTTCACAATCAGTAAGCAACATGATATTATATTTAAACCATGAGTCGGTTAAACATTCTGAATGAATGAAAGTTCATCAATGAATAAAAAAAAGGGAAAATAAATGATAAAAGAGAAGAGAAAAAAAAATCGAAATAGTAAATTTTTCTCTTCCTCCATTTCAGATAAATCAGTTGACATTGAAATTGAAAAATGAACCGAAATTTGGAATGAATTAGAATCGTGAAATTAACTAAATTCAGATAATATTACCATTCTCCATGAATATATAAATACCTTTGAACTGAAGACCTCACATTTCATCATGAACCTCGTTTTCATCTTCATCCTATTACGATTGTATCATCATGAATCGAGCACTAGTCTGCTTGTTTTGCATCATTATCCTTTCATCCCACTCTCTTCAGCATTATCATTGTGATTATCATGATTATCATAACTTGTTCATTGCTTGTTACCATGAAAATTACTTTATTCAAATTGTTCTCGACAATATCAACGAGACAATCTAATATTTATTTGTTGTCCTTATTTTTGCTTACCTTTTGTAATATGGTTGACATTTAGTGTTATCTGATATTTACTTGCAGAATAAAATTACTCTTAACAATTTACTTCCTTACAATGTAATACAAGGAAGAGACAACAACAAGTCTACCCCAGAACACTCAACATGAGCAACATTTACAACAATAAACTCACAGGTTACACACCGAGTATATTGATCGAGGAAGTTTTTTTTTTTTTCTTTTCTCATGAACATGATGATGAATATGGAGTTTTTTGTTTCCATTATCATTTCTCATCAGATTTTGATCTTTTCTTTTAGTTTTACCTTCATCATTTATTTCTAATTATCTTTGTAAAACTCAATCATCTTCATGTTTCATTTTCTTAATCAACATGATACCGAAACTCATGAACATTGATCATCATGTAATCATTACTATGCATCAACCAACGTTATCTTATTCGAGGGATCAATCAAGTATTACCTGAACACCCTCATGTTACCATGATGAATACATACACACCTTGATAGCTGGGTTACTTTGGTTTCTCTTTCCTTTTGAAAAATTCTGGATCAGGAAATACTTTCTTGGAACTTTCTTTTTTCTTTTTTCTTCTTTCTCCCCACAGAATTATCTTCATCCTGGTTGTATTATATTCTAACTGAGAAGATGAAATGAAATAACAAAGAGATAAAACTTTCAAGTGATGAAGTTTACCTGAGTATTAAGTGAAAGTATTTATATGTATTGAAAGGTAAAAAGAGTTGCGTATGGAAAAGCAAATAAAATGATAACTCAAAGAGTTAACACTTACCTGTGCGAATACTTTAATTTACATTTGATCAGCTATTGAACTGAGTTCTTTTCTCAAAAAGTTTCCGATCATGATGATCATTCAGTTGGTTGAATGAGAAGAAATTGATGGAAAACTTGGAATATTTCAAATTTCGATTTGTAGCTAAGTTTTAGTAGATTTTTCTCTTCTCTTTTTTGCTACATTTCGAAACTTTCAACTACAAACTCATGTATAAACACTTCTTTTACCATGTTAATAATAAAACTAGTCTTCGAGTTTCTGTTTCTCTTTTCGAGTCAATAGAATCACCTTTATCTTCATCATCCTCTTAGCAAGAAATTGAAAAGTTCTTGAAAATGTTGAGATTTTTCTTTCGATTTTCAAAGTTATTATCCTTTACAGGTTTTCTTTCTTCTTCAATTGTTCCCTTATTGTGGTTTTGTTTCGAATCGAGTTTAAGTTTAAACTTTGGAATCATTTTGTAATCGTTTGTTCGCAATCGACGAAATAAACTGAATAGAAATTTGATCTGAACAAAAAAAGTAAGAAAAAAAATAGAGAAGAAAATCTGATGAAATTCTCAGCAGATTTACTCATGACAGTTTTCTTCTGTTCTACTGACCAACACAATGACCCACGAAGAGAAAAAAAAATTTCTAATATAATTTGTCTTCCCTTCTAAATCAACATCTCCAGAACCGAGTGATTATTTTCTATTATCAACACAATTTCGTTTAATTTAATTACATTATTAAGATGATATCAAGTCGAACCATAAATATACATTATCATCTTCTTGTTTTCATCCTCATCTTCATCATCTATTGTCAAGTATTTATCATCTATTATCAATAATATCAACAATCATAATCTTAATCTGGTAATAAATTCATGAAGTTACTCAGCCTCTCAAGTTTTATCAATCATTATCATCCCTTATCATGGATTAGTTACCAAGTCCGAAAGTTTATATCATAGTATTAGATTAACACTAACTACATACTTATATTAATGTGGGCAATTGAGTTCGTGTAAATATTATATTTAATTATAAATAATTACAGAGGAAAAAGAGAAAGAAAGACAGAGAAGTAGAAAGAGAAAGAGAAACTTATCTCCATCATGGATTCAATGTAATTACTATTTGTTTCTAGAAAGATTGAGGTGAAAGTTTGACCACTACCTGGTCCATGACATTTTACCTTGAAAACGGAAGATTATTATTGAGATGATGATAAAAGATGATAAGTTGGATTGGTTGAAATCTCCTTAGGGAAAAATGCTCAAGATTTATTTTTCCATGATGGTCAAGCATTTTGGTCACAATTTAATCATTTTCATGATATTGAAGTTCAATATATATTCAATTGATTCTCTTTTCGAG